CCCACTCAACCCTGCCACAGTCAGGAAGTCACAGAGATACCCACTGGGTTTCCCCAGCTTCCTGACTCTGCAGCCTCAGCTGGGACTGGCAACTTGGGGACACCACAGGGTTGAATTCACCAAAGCCTGCATGCTAAATGAGACATAAATACAACCTTTGCCCTTGAGTGGACAGTTCTGAGGCGTCTCAGAAGTTGACTCAGTTTCCCCAGGCTGACCCTCTTTCCCCTTGCTGGGATCTTCCCCCAGTGAGAGCCGCTTACTCATCCTTCTCCCTCTGCTTTTGGGGCCAATGCACCCCAGGAGCCCAGTAAGGAGCCCCCCATCTCTGAACAGGGACCCTTGTGATTCTTCCCCATGACCTTTCCCAACACCCTTAGAGCAGTCCTATGCGGCAGCTGGGATGTTCAGAGGGCCCCGGGACTCAGTAGGTGAGAAGCAGATATCAGCACTGGGGTGCTATGTCCAGCTGCCTCTGGGCTAGCAGAAACTATCTAGAGACTTCTAGATAGATAGGTAGGAAGTTGGGGCCTGCAGGTGACCTACTTTCTCTTTGCCTTTTGTGGAAACTGGGAAAGATTAGGGAAACAGGCGGGTACCAAGGTGTGCACCCCTATGTAGAGACACAGTCACCCCCATCTCTCCAGAGGCTGACTGTCTTCAGGTGTGACCCATCTTCAAAGCATCATGGGTGTCCACAGAGAAAGGCATGAAAGCAGGTAGCCTGGAGCCGGGTGGGATGAACATGCATGGGGATGTCTGTCTGATTGAGAGGTCCAGGACTGTGGGGTACCAAAAAGCCAAAGGGAGGCTGGGGGTGGGGAACACAGAGGCAGCCCTAGCCCAGGACAGCAGTCGTCAATGTAGTAGCGTAGTAGCTCTTTCTTATTCTGCCTGATAGCATCTCCCTCCCCCCCATCCCCGTTCAACTCCCAGCATGGTTACATTTCCTTCAGGACTCTACAGCCCACATAGCTACCCTGAACCTAGAGTGGCCATGGTGCCAGGCACAGGAGCCTAGAACGGGTCCATGTGGGTCTTGAACAGCCAGGGGAGGAGGGTGTAACGGTACACCTGGTGTGGCTGTCACCTGTATTTCCTCTCAAGGATCTTCCCACAGGCTCATGAGGGCTTGGCAGCCATCTTGAAGGCACCATCATTTATGATTACAGGGACAGGGGATGCTCCTGATGGGGACTTAACTCTTCGTGCACCTGGGTCCCATGTGGGCTCCTTTCAGCATCACACTGGTATTTGAAGGGACCACCTCCTTCTCACTCTCTAGGATGCTGGCCTGTTGTACGAAAAGCCCCAACCCTAGCCCTAGGTCATGGTCAGCCATGCACACGGCGGCGGGCCCAAAAGGCTGGCCACGCCTACAGCCTACTGAAGCCTGCCCACATCCTGCACTACCTGGATTTTGATCGAAGTCCACATTCTTTTTTAAAAGAATGAAACTATTTTAAACTTCATTATTGAAGCCAAAAACAAAATACCACAACATGGGCTGCTAGTTAGACACACAGATTGGACGCTGAAACCTACTGTGGAGACCCACTTCATAGAGTTCTCTGGAAGGCGGGGGAGGGGAGCATCCTGTGGAAGGGAAGATTCTGGCTGTCTTATAAGAGAGCATCCAGCACCAGGCACTGCACCTGGGACTCTGCTTCTAGGTTTACGCCAAGCCCTAAGTGCCGCTATAGAGCATCTTGCCTTGTGTTGGCGGATTTTTGGCTAGTCGTTTTAGAAGAGGAAACCTGTTTAGAAAATGCCCCCATCACATAGGCCTGTGGTACATTATCTTGATTGATAACTGCTGTGGGTAAGCCCATCCCACGGAGTGGATGCTATCCCTGGGCCTGGAAGCAGCATTCCTCCACGGCCCCTGCATCAGATCCTGCCTTGACGTCTCAGGCTGATGGGCCACAACTCTAAACTGAAAGAAATCCTTCCCTCCCCAGGTCACTTCTGGCCACGATTGTTGTGTCCCAGCAATAGCAGCCTGATGGGAGGCACACCCGCAACTCAGACTGCACACCGCTAAAGCTGGCTGCAGCCCCAAGTCCCCAGACCTTGGGGCACCATGCACCCAAAGCGACCGTGCTCAAATCCCATCTCCAGCATCCTGAGCCCCTCAACCCTCGCCGTCTCACCTCGCAGGGGTGAATATCCTTCCACCATCTGACCTGGCCTCACTGGACCCTGGTGTCCTAAGGGACACCAACCTTCCGGGGGGGAAGAAAGTAACCCTTGGGGCAACTCCAGGGACATTGCACGACAGCCTCTCAGTTGTGCAGGATTGTAAGCAGCAGCCCTAAATGTCTCCCACTGGGTTCCGTTGGCCTCCAGGCTAGAGTCAAAGCCGTCCTTCCGCTCTGAGGTTGTACAGTGTGCTCTTCTGGGGACTGTGGCTCCTGGGGGGATTCAGCGATGAGTCTCTTTGGACCACGTAGCTTCAGTAAAGAGCCCATGAGCCTAGGTTCAGCCAGAGTCACAGCTTGACATGGGGTGTGTCACAGCTTTATTTTCCTGGGACCAGGGAGACTAGAGGCTCCTGACAAGCCAGCCTCAACCCAGTCCCCTCTGCTCCCCTAAAATTGTGTCCTCATGATGTCCATGTGCATCTCTCCTAAAGGGTTCAGCGTATGTTGAGGAAGTAACCCCCATCCTAAAATCAGAGAGAATCTCAACCAGGGCCAGAAATCCCAGGGAAACCTGAAGTTAAGGTCAAGAGTGGCTGGGTATCCTTGGCGCCCATACCAGGTCTTGACTATGGGACCGCTCTAGAGAGCTCATCAAGTGGTCCAGTTGCCCCTGTTTCTGGAAGTGCTGGGTCTGGTCAGCTGAAGGCAGCTACCTGTGTCAGCACAGGCCAGCCCACCCACAGACCAGGGGACCAGGGGAAAGAGGCCAAGACAGAGGACTCCAGCAAGGGAAAAACAGCTCGCACAAACCCAGCTTCGGGAACAAGGAAAAGTGGGGCCTCCAAGCAAGTATAGAAGAGCTGTGCCAGATGATGGGGACAGATGTGACACACCCCAAAGACACTGAGGACACCAGAACCCATCTGAAGCATCAGATCCATCCATGACTCTGCTTTAAGATACACAGCAGGGGCAGAGAGGGGGCACAGGAGGAAACCCAAAAGGTCATGACCCAAAATTCAAGGTCATAAGTTCACAGAAAACCTCAAGGTCACAGTAGAATCAAGGTCACAACTCTGTAAAAAAAATAAAAGAAGAAGATCACACAACACAGGGGGAAAAGTCACAGGAGAAAATGCCAAGGTCACAGGCATAGGGAGGACCGTTCAAGGTCACTGAGCTGGAAGAAACCTCAAGGCCACAAGAGGAAACTTCTAAGTCAGAGGAAGAACGCTGAAGGCTGGGAGTCAGGAGAAAGGCTCCAGGTGAAAAAGAATTCTCAGGAAATCCCAGGAACACGGCACAAAGCTCAAGGTCATAGTCCTGGGGAAACCCCTCAAGGTCACGAGACCTCAAAGTCATGGACTTCTCAAGGTCACAGGGAAACATCACTCTAACAGAGGAAAGTTTAATCACTGAGTTCACAGGAAGCAGGCATCACAGGAGGAAATCCTAAGGTCACAGGAAGAACCATCAAAGTCAGTTATCAAGGTCACAGGAACTATCACAGCAACCAGTTGAAACAAGTTAACAGCAGGAAAACTAAGCGCCAAGGGACTCCTAGGATAGCTCGAATAGTTCCCTATACAGGTGAGGCTCAGGGAAAGGCAAGAGACGGCAGAACTGCTCCACCATGCAGCAAAGTCTGTGGAGCACCCAGCAGGCCATTCACCCACCAAGGCAGCTCACTTGTGGGGTGGTGGTGGGGTGGCGGGTGGGGGAAAGGGCTTGGATCCAAGTAGGATTGAGTAGACACCATGAAACAGGCCCACAGGGCTCCCAGGCCTCCCAGCCTGAGGAATTTCCCATGAGCACCAGGCCTCTGACTCCCCTGATTTAAGGGCCGTTAATACTGAACCAAGTGGCTTCACACAGAGCAGCCTAGAGGGCGAAAGCCCTGGTGCGTGGCACAACCCTCTAGCCTGAGCCATGCTGTCCACCTGGACAGTGTTCAAGCACAGCACAGCAAGGGTGAACTGCTATACTCCTTCTAGATGTGTCTCATGAGAACGCACAACAGCCCATGGGCAACAGGAACCTCTGATGGCCACGGAGCCACAGCCCACGGGGAGCAGGGAGACCTCTGATGGTCACGGAGCCACGGCCCACAGGAAACAGGGGCCTCTGATGGCCACGGAGTCACAGCCCACGGGGAACAGGGAGACCTATGATGGCCACGGAGCCACAAGCTTCAGGCCCATGTTGACCTATCCACCAACTGGCAGCCACTTCGGCACACTGCTGGCTAACACTGGCATCTGACTCCATAGGTGTTGTCCTCAAACTCGCAGGCAGGACAGCCCCCTCTGGTCTGTTCCCATTCCATTCAGGAGCCCAGGGCAGATAGCCTGTCATTTCTCCAGCCCTGATTCTCTCTAATCCCCAAGTTTTCATATTCCCAAATCAACCACGTGCCCGGCCAGAGTGGGAGATGGAGAGACTCTAGAAACCAGCAACTAGAAAAACAGGACCACAGAATGCCTCTGGTGTGCATGAAGTTTGTTGATTTTTTTCTCCTTTTAGTTCAAAATAAAAATATATATATAGCAGGCTCTCAGGTATATAAACTGATAATATTAAAAATACAAAGTTCACCTTTACAAAAACAAAACAAAACAAGGAGACCACAAACACACAATTCTGTTTAACAGTGAAGCCCAACAGCTTACCCAAAATTAATATCAGTCACATCTTCGCACGGCCATGGAAAGCATTTAGCAATGGGGGTAACCACACAGGGGGCTGGGGGCAGGGGCAGCCACTGAATGACTCCCACGTAGTCCTCTCATATGACTTAAGCTACAAGTTGACACTAAAGGGGCTGAGGAACACAGGAAGCCAAAGGCGCATCAGAAATGATGTATAGGTAGGTATACCATGTTTATTTTAATACACCTCATTAGTTTGGCTAGGAAAAAATAACCGTCTCGCTGTCCCAACTTACAGCAGCCTCGTGCGTGTTATCGACAAAAATGTCATCCAAGAGGTTTAAAAAAAAAGAAGAAAAAGAAAGAAAGAAAGAAAGAAAGAAAGAAAAAAAGCTAGGCAGAGAATTAAAAAGAAAAAGCTTGATCACTTTATGGTGTAAAAAAAAAAAGAAAGAGAGAAAGAAAGCAAAGGAAAGGAAAAAGAAATTCCACGTAAGGCCGTCTGGAAAGTCCTAGGCAGACTCAAGCGAGGTGGCAGCTTCCAGGCCCGTGGGCATCTCCCAGCTGTTCAGCTTCCTTGCCTAGTGGAACCAGCGGGCAGCATCCCAGGCAGGCTCCGGGCGTCCTCAGCGAAAAGCACCTGTGCCCACAGGCAGAATTCAGGGCAGTGGCCAACATCGGCTACCCCTCAAGGATCAGTCCTGCAGGACCGCCCTTCTGTTGCCCACCGCAGTCTTTTTGTTTCTTGTGGTGGGTTTGTTGTTGTTGTTGTTGGGTTTTTGTTTTTTGTGGGGTTTTTTTTTGTGGTTTTATTTTTTTTTTAATTTTTTTTGATTTTTTTTTGTGGTTTTGTTTTCGCTCTCTGTGACAAGGAAGCTTTCTCGCTGCCTCTCCGAGTGCTACAGTACTTGCTTTGATGTCACACTGAACAAACGGACACTGTCTCTTTGTCCTCAGACACAGTTTTTCACGGAGGAGAACAAAGACCGCACGCACATTGGCAATGAAGCACCATACATAGTATGTTCAGGAATGTCACACGCCACGTACATCCGTGTCCCGGGAGAGGGCGGCCGGCTCATCTCACCTCACATCTGTGGGAAGAGAGAAAGAGTGGAGGCTATAACCAAAGATAGAAAATACCAGGGCTACTTGGCTCCACACAACTTACTTCTTAAGACATAAACTTGATATGTAATTAAAAAAAAAATCAAATTTTCCACAGTTAAGAATTGGGACTAGGCTGGTTGCATTTCATAGCAGTACCCATGCTCCCATTGCACAGATGGAGAAACTGAGGCACAGAAAGTTTATTTTTGTCCTTTCCCCTCTTTCTTTCTTCCAGTCTAAGGCTTGTGCTCGCTGAAGGTCTAGCAGACATTTTGGGCCTTGAAGCGACTGAGAAAACAGATACCACCAGCCACACAGTGTGTGGGTCTCTGTGACGAGGCAGACCTATGGTGTGTGTGTGTGTGTGTGTGTGTGTGTGTGTGTGTGTGTGTGTGTGCAGCTGTCTTATGGTGCTGGTGAACAAACACTAGCTATTACAAGGGTAGACCCTCCAGATCCAAAAGGAACCAACAAAGCCTCCACTCACAGCCTAAAGACGGTAGCCAGCAGGACACAGGCAGTCACGGGAACACCTGCCTCTTACTCAGAGAGGGTCTCTGTCAGCAGCAGGCCCATCAGAGCCACATGGAACAAGCCCAAGGACTTGCTCAAGGAGACACATACCCAAAGCAGGCATCCCCGGCCACACTCCTATGGGAGCCAGGGCTCTCAGACACCCTATCTCTGAGGACTCTCTTGCCCAGAATAACTGTTTGTCTTGGATGCCCCTAAGTCCCATGTGCCAGGAGGAAGGGCTCAGCCAGACAGGCTCCAGTACTCTGGGCCAGACAAGCTGACACTCAGGACAGGCCTGGGAAATGACATGCCTCACCTACATTCCCTACACTTCCGGGGAAAAACTGCCGTCACAGGGTGGGTTTGGAACAAGCATTCCTAAGAGGCTCTACAGCCCTGCGTTACCTAACCCGACTCTTCCAGCTTGGAATACGAGAGTGTTGGCAACCACCGTAGATCTGACAGTCTTTTTGAAGACAGAATCTACAGGACCAAACAGAAAGGACCACCAGTGACAGCTGTTCAGGTTTCTCCTCCTGGTCTCATGCAGATGGACGTCTACCGCCTTTTCCCATGCTGCTATCGGTCACAAGGCCAACTGCCCTGTCCACTTAAAACGCTTCAGAGCCACACAGCCTCTAACAAGCCTCACCTGTCGCCTGGAAAAGCCTCTGGCCTTTCATCTATCAGTGCAGTGAGCAGCTTCTCCCCAGGAACTCCAGCAGAACCAGAGCCCCCCCACCCTTCCCGCCACGGGGCACTCGGGTGCCTGATCAATGACCAAGAGAAGGGCAAAGCTGTAGCTGAGAGGAGACCCGGTCCAGCAGCCCCAGAAGCACACAGAGCCTTGAGCCAATCAGGGCCCATGGAAGCTGATTCGCTGGTGTGATTGTGTCCCAGCCCTGCGAGGGAGTCCCCCAGCGCACCCGGCGGGCAGGGCCTACCTGGTTGGCCGCCTTAGGTGGGTTTTAACCTTTTTCTTTTCCGCTTTTTACCTGATTCCCTACGCCTTCCTGTCAAGGAAAGGGCAGGGAAGGTGAGTGGCCTCCTGAGGGCTTGGGGTGGGAAGCCACAGCAATAAATACTAGAGGGTGTTTATCTTGCAGAAAGAAGGCCCAATCCACCCTGGTGCACAGACACTTCCGGGTCTTTCTCTGCACCTGGACCGGCTGAACGCTGGCAAGGGACAGGTATGCTGGGCAGGATGAAGGTCAAGACCCTGGGCAGCAGGGCGCAGTCTGAAACCAGTGTCTACAGTCCCACCTGGATGTGACACCCTGCTTACCTGACTCTAGCCCCGCAAGCCAGTCCGGACAGCTGGGAAATCCAGACCTGCCGCCTCACTCAGTGGAAGCAACTTTCCTGTCATTCTGTGACTGACTTGCTACACCTCGTATCCCGCAGGACCCACACGCAGCAAATAAACAGAGCCGGCCACTCACCCGTCTCCTCCTCCCGGTGGTCTGGGTTCAGGTTGGAGGTCGCGCACGCACACTCCAGGTGTTCCTCTAACCTCACCTGGACCTCTTTCAATTTTGGCTTCTTCCTGACATACTCCACTTTGGCCACCTGCCAAGGGAACAAAGCCAGTGTCAACACCATGTGCCCGAGGGGGACCTGCCCGGCTCAACCCAAACTGGGACTCAGATTTCGAACCTCCCCAGGGCATCTTCCCTTTACTCAGGCCTGTTTCCATTCAAAATAAACCCTGATGATGCCAGACCTACAGCTGCCATCCCAGCACTCTGGAGCTCAGAAGTTCAAGGCCAGTCTGGGCTACACAGCAAGGGATGCAGTTCAGTTAGCAGGTCCTTGCCTAGCAAAACACCAATCTCCACCCCCGGCACCATTATAAACTGAATGAACGTGGTGGCACAAGCCTGTAATCCCAGGACTGAGGATGGATCAGGAGGATCAGGAACTTAAGGTCATTTTTGACAACATAGAGGGCTGAGACAGGCCTGGACTACATGAGACTCGTAAGTGCCCAAAAGATCTGAAGGGCACCAGCAAAGAAAGGGTGAACTGGGCACAGGACGGCCGAGCACAGTACTGCTCTGGCATCTGTGTTGTTAGTGAAGAAAACGGAGCCTCAGCTAGGGACAACAGCATGGCTACAAAGCTTGCTGAGGGAGGGACCTCACTCAGAGAGCTATTTCCCTCTCAACTCAGGGTCGCGGGAGACACACCAACACAGCAGGTACCATGGACTCTAGAATCCCCAGCAAATCTGCCCTGGTCCCGGCCAGAGGCTGACCAGGACAGCCTGCTATTCTCAGGGCAACAGACTGTCATATGCTCTGTGACATGTGTGTGTCCTGCCCCCCATAAACACACACAGATGTGCAAGGTGCACATAGCTCTCAACACAGGAATGCAACTCCACACTCCCGCATCACGCTCATACAGCAGTTAGCGCACCCGGTCCGTCAGGAGCTGCATCAGGAGGCAGCCTGGGCCATACACCCTGCTCTAGTCCAGCATGAGGTCACACTAGGGAATGCTCCGGGTCACCTCCCTCAGAGCTCAGACACCAGCTCTCATTTAACCCTCCTGGCCAACCAGTGAGGAGGAAGGATTGTCACCTCCATGGATAGAAAAAAAAACTCAGGCACAGTAAGCCCTCTCCTGAGGTGACCCAGAGAGCGTGATTGGCGGCTTGTCTCGACCTCAGCACCGCCTAGAACGCATGTCATCCTCTCAGCTTTGCACACAACCAGTGCCAAATTTGCGTCCACATCCCTCACATCCCACCATACCCTGGGGAAACTGAGGCTGTAATAGTGATGAACCCACCCCGGTTGGCCTACAACACCTGTAGAGGTGGCAGCTTCTTGGGCGGTCAATGGTGGGAACAATGCCTGGCCCATGCAGAGTGACTGAGAGAGTGTGGGTAGGGGAACATTTTTCACTGCTCTCCTGGGCACTGACACTCAGGAACCAAGAGAACCAGGCATCCAGGGCAAACAGCTGCTTCAGGGCACCGGGGACCAGACTCTGCTGTGGCTACCACCTTGGCTACATTAATGGTTAACGTGGGTGCAAAGGGTGCCAGGTACCCGGCGGGCGTGTGAAGTAGTGTGGGTGCCTCAGGTGTGAATGTAGTCTGCCAAGTATGAGCTCAGCATGTAGGGCGTGGGGCCAGGGGTCAGGGGCCAAGGGCCAGCCCAGGAGGTTTCGCTGCGTCAAGGTGGGAGGGACAGCAACTAGGGACAGTGAGGGCAGGGGCATCTGAGGTGTAATCGGGTTATGCTGTCCGGATACCTGTGAAATGGGGCAGTGCTCACACCCACCCAGGTAGCTCTCAAGAGCAAGGTCACCTCTGCAAAGGCACTCAGAAGTCAAGTATATGGTACGGTGCAGCAGGCCTGGACCCCAGCGCTCAGTAGGCTGAGGTAAGAGGATTGCTTCAAGTTCAAGTCCAGTCTGAGCTATACACTGAGATCCAGGCCAGCCTGGCTACAGAGCAAGACAATGCATTAAACACAGATACAACATTAAAGACTCACTTAGAGATGGGGGACAGGGCCACCCTACAGGAGCCAGTTTCAACAGAAGTCAGTATTCATACAAGGCTTCTTACTAAAACAAGCCTCCGAGCCCTGCTCAGGAAGTCGGCATGTCCCCAGAGGCACCGCAAACCCCAGTCCCAAAGCTCGGAAATGTGGTCTTACACTCCACCCCAGGGAACAGAAGGATAACCCCTGTCCCTCCCGTGAAGGGCCCTGGGGTGGGGTTGGGAAGGAGGGAGTTCTCCCAAAGGAGAAAACATCAGCCAGATTAGCCAGTCCCTAGAGGAGCTGTAGGCGGCGGAGGTGCCCTTAAGTACCCCTGCCACCGTCCCCAACCTGAAAGATGTTCACAGTCCTTGGAAATCCAGCAAACCTCAAGACTGCCCAGTTAAGCCTAGGCCTGACCTAGACCCTGGCTGCAGGGCAGGTCCAGCCTTCCCCTCTGAACCTACGGGTCCCCTGCATAAGGGGCAAATGATGAGCCGCCCCAGCTGGGGAGCCCCCTTTCTCCCAGACAGGCCCATGTTTACCAGACAAAAACAAACAGTGGTTTATGGGAGCACCTGCCTTGGGAATGCAAGGATTCCAGCCTCTCTGCCACCTCTGTCTGGCCAGGAAACGGCTACATTTTCCCCCATGAAGAACATGCTACGAATACTAAATTCTCAAAGCTGCCTCCGTGAAAGCATAGAAGGAGATGGCAAAGCCCCAGGAGGGCCACTTGCTCCACAAGCAATCCCTAGCTCCCTCAAGTTCAACCCAGATGGTCACCTAGCCAGGCCTCTGTCTGCTCACTGCCACCCTCCCCAAGGAGGGCTTGTCCTGACTGCTCCCAAGCCTCAGGACAGTATTGGCTTTGAGCTGAGACACAGAGCACAGGCCCTCCTGCAGGCGAGCTGCACGAACCCTATTACAGCCTGTTTTAACAGATGGGAAACCTGAGTGCAGACTGGCGGACAACTGGCCCAGGTCCCTCAGTTCTCACTAATAGCCTGGACTTAAAAGGAGTGAGGTCCTGAGGCCACACAATCCCAGAGACCAGGGATCTTCCCAGGCCAGTCCTCTAACTTGACCAAGAGGGTGTTGCACTCTGGTCCCCCAAGTGTCCCATGGACATCCAAAGAAGAGGGAAGCTGGTGCCAGGCCTCAAAGGCAGGGGTACCCCTGTCCCATCCAGCTGAGGACCCCATACATAGCAGTTGATAGGAAGAGACCCCAGATACACACACACACACACAGCTTCCATGCTGGCCCAGCCTCCTCAGATCCTAAGCCCCTTCAGAACGAAAGCCAGTCTGACCACCTTCTCTGAAATCTTTGCACGAGCTGCCCAATAGAGCCCAGCTGGGACTTTCCCTAGAACACAGTTCCAGACTCTAGCCAAGCTGGGGACACAACAAAGCCTGAAGTCTGACCCAGCAGAGCCCTGAGCACAAGACTGAGTAACGAACCTCCCTATACAGCCCAGAAGCCAGGTCAAACAATGGCTCAGAGGTGACGACCTGAACCCTTGGCAGCCCTACCCCCTGACCCGTTGGCAGTCCCATGCAATGCAGACAGGAGAGGCCTCACCTCTGTTCAGTCCAAACACCACAGGTAGCTGCTCCACAAGCCCGGCCTGTGCTCCACTGTGCAGGCCCACAGAGCATCCTTCTCCAGCCTTCACAGCAAGGTCTGGAGAACACTGCTAGCTCCTGGGCTCGGGTAGCACACGATGAGAACAACAGGAGGCCAAATGGGTGAGGTCCCAGGCTGTTCAGATGTCATCCCAGTTAGCACTTGGGAGACTGAAGTAGGAGTTCAAGGCCTGCCTAGGCTACAGAGAGAGTTTGAAGCCAGCCTGAGTACCTTAACTTAGACCCTCTCTCACAATAAAAACTACAGAGAGCTGGGGGCATGGCTCAGCGGTAGAGCACCTGCCTAGAATCCCCAGTGAGGGGCTTGGGTGTGGTTCAGTGGTAGAGCACCTGCCTAGAATCCCTCAGTGAGGGGCTGGGGTGTGGCTCAGCAGTAGAGCACCTGCCTAGAATCCCCAGTGAGGGGCTGGGGTGTGGTTCAGTGGTAGAGCACCTGCCTAGAATTCCCAGTGAGGGGCTGGGGTGTGGTTCAGTGGTAGAGCACCTGCCTAGAATTCCCAGTGAGGGGCTGGGGTGTGGCTCAGTGGTAGAGCACCTGCCTAGAATCCCCCAGTGAGGGGCTGGGGTGTGGTTCAGTGGTAGAGCACCTGCCTAGAATCCCCCAGTGAGGGGCTGGGGTGTGGCTCAGTGGTAGAGCCCCTGCCTAGGATTCCCCCAGTGAGGGGCTGGGGTGTGGCTCAGTGGTAGAGCCCCTGCCTAGAATCCCCCAGTGAGGGGCTGGGGTGTGGCTCAGTGATAAATGTTTACCTATAATGAGAAGTCCTGGGTTTAACACACAAAACCACAAGAAAGGACATATACAGACACACACCCACACACACCCACCCACACACACACACACACACACACCAGAACCAGGGTTGATGGTGCATATCATACAGGGTAGATATGGTTGCTATGAGTCTCATCATCAGCCCCACCCTGCTGACTTTGAGTCTGGGACTTTTGGGCCCATCTCCCTCCATCCAGGTCATCACCAGCCTCCACCCCAAACACTGCAGAGCTGGCATCCACAATGGGGCTCCTGTTCCAATGACCTTCTGTCCCCACTCCAGAGCCTGCAGTGTCTGGGGCCGGATGTCCCCTCCCAGCTCTGGGTGGGTGGCAGTGGTGTATGTGGGTGGGAGCTTAGGAGGAAGTATGGGAAAGCCTAGCACAACCAGGATTAGACTGGTCCCTTTCAACTGACCAAGATCCTACTGAGCAAACAGGCCCCATGGGGTAACGAGTAAAGGCACAGTTCCATAAAGCACAGAGAAGGTGCAATCAATCCCAGTGGGCAGCCGTGCCAGCGGAAATGGACGGTCCTTGTCCCAGGGGCCGGAGAATGAAAACCTCCAAGTCAAAACCCTTCCACAATCTGTCACACTAGAGCCTTCACGCATGTCTCCAGCACGGAAAAGCTATTCCAGAACTCACATTGCCATAGTTCACTTTTGTGATTCCAGTCAGGAGGCTGAGGGAGGGTTAACACCAGCCTGGGCTACACAGTGCTAAGCCAGTCTAGACTACACAAGGCCACCATGGCAGGCAGGCAAGGAATGAAGCCAGACAGATCAATAAACAGACAGAACTATACTAGATCAAACCTATCGCCTGTACCCAAAGAACAAGATGGCAGCTTTCTGGACTCCTCGATATAGCATCAGTGGGAACCCTGAGGCCCAAGGAAAGGCTGAGGCTGGTCCAGGTCACACGAGCTACCAGGGTGCTTAAGCCAGCCCTGGTAGCACGACCCTGATGGTTGCCAACATCCTGTCCAACCTCTGAGGGTGGATAGCCAACGCAGAGAGCACCCCAGACAAGTCCATGGGAACCTGGGAAAAGCCCAGGGCTTTTGATGGGGTGTCCAGTCCTGAGGACGCCTGCAATGACATTAGTCAAACCCGGAACTCTCAGGAGACCAAACAGCAGCCATCAAAGACAGTCTCAACTGCAGGTGCCGGGTTGTGGGTGACAAATAGGGTCCAGAATACAAGTCCTTACCAAGAAAGATGTTCTTCTGGCACCTCCCTTCCACCAGGGCCAAGGGTCAGTGCATGGTTGGGAGTTGAGATGGATATACTGGGGTACAAGAATGGAGCCTGAACTTTTCATGCATAATTCTGGGCACCCTTCACACAAGAAAAGTAGCCTGGCTACAGAAGCCTGGCTGGGTCCGAAGCAGATGTTATCCTTAGAGGTATGCGAACCCCTCAGCTGTCTAGAGTCCCTTGTGTCCGCTCACCCAAATGGTCACATGTTTAGCAAAAGGGTCTCAACCAGGTGGAGTCAGTTTTCAGACTGTAGAGCAGCCTAGAGCAATGATGCTCAGCCTGTGGGTTGTGACTCCTTCAGGGTCCCACAGCAGTACCATTCCTAACAGTAGCAAAATACAGTTACGAAATAACAACAGAATGGTTTTAGGATTGGGGGGTCACCACAACATGAGAAACTGTATTGAAAGGTCGCAGCGCTAGGAAGGTTGAGAGCCGCTGTCCGAGAGTGTCCGACTGGTGGAGCACAAAGGGCTCCAGCCTTGGTAGCATAGACAACCGGCCTTCAACCATGTTCTTAGACCCATGCCCAAAGCAGAACCAAATCCCTGGGGGCTAGAAACCCTCCGTCATCCTGCAAGGAGGCCAACAAACTGAGCCCCCAAGAACACAGAGGGACACACAGGTTCTAAAGGGAACAGAATCAAGTTCCACAGTCATCCATACAGATAATGACCATGTATGCCAACTAGGGGCCTCAGATACCTCTCATGGTGATACGTGGCTGTTCCCTCTGAGTTAAAACATTCCTTTCCAGCGGGGGCTAGTAAGACCCGGGGAAGCTAATGAAACAAGCTCAGAAGTTTACAAGATTCACAAGCAACCCCTCCACACATGCACATAAGGAGGAACAATCACTGGGGAGAGGAGAGGAGACCGACTCTCTGGGAGGAAGCTCTAGGGACGTGGACTTCTCCAGGTATCACCAAGGTCAGGGCAGGCTTTCCTGTGCTACAGCTGCCTATTAATGAGTCAAAATAACCTCCTCAGCTCCTCAGCAAGGTAGACTTGAGTGAACCACCTTCTTTGGTTGGTCATCAGAGCCAAATCCAGATACTACCCTATCTAGAATAAAGAGACATTCGTCCACAACTTCTCAATGACAGAAGCACGCTGTGACCACTGAATGTCCCAGAGTCACTCTTGAAGGTCGCTGAAAGCCGTGCTAACAACCTTAAGTCATATGCCCCCCTTCAAATCACCCATCCCCCCGCTCCCCCCCCACACACACCAGCCAAGAGCATCCTGCAAGGCTGCCGACCAACAGGGCAGGGCTCTCACCTTGACACTGCGGTGGTGGACCCTTGAGGGCTGGCACTTGACGCTGCTGGTATTGCAGCAGCCGGTGCAGCGCTTCACCTCCACACACGGGGGCCAGATCAGGAAGTTGGCCGATGTGGGGTCCACCTGGCTCCGAGGTATCTCGTAAATGACCGTCCTGGTCTTGCAAACTGCAGGAATGGCTTCCTCTGCAAAGGCAAGAGTACTGTGAATCAGGAGACCTAGGACCCTCCAATCTCCCGACCCAAACCAGAGATGCCCACCTAGGCTAGACCTGGGCAAAGCTCATCCCTGTGACGGCTTCCAGATGAAAAAAGACATGCTGGCTGCCAATAGGCCCCTGAATATACAGGGCTGAAACTCACATCAAAGCAACAGACATAGTTCAAGGCCAACCTGGGCAACTTAGGGAGGTCTTGTCTCGAAAATGAAGAGGGCTAGGAAAATGACTCAGCAATATAACATGTGCCTAGACCCTCTCCCCCCACGCCCACCCATGCCAACACCCGTGAAGTGCTAGGAGTGTGGCTCGGTGGCATAATGTTTGCCTAGAATCCCTTCAAGTGAGGAGCTGGGGGTGTGGCTCAGTGGTAGAGCCCCTGCCTAGAATCCCCCCAGTAAGGGGCTAGGGGTGTAACTCAGTGGCAGAGCACTTACCTAGCATACACTAGGCATTGATTGGTTCCATCCCTAGTACCCCTCTCCTTGCTTTTGCAGGCCAAGAAATGGGAGCAACTCAACCCCAGTCTCCACACAGCCCAGAGCTGGGGACCTGGTCATGAAAGCCAGAAAAACTACACTTATTTGTCCCCCAAGGAAGAGGCAGCTATTTCCTTCCCTGCACTAATCACACAGGTGAACACAACCAGTCTGGGGCCATCTGCTTGCCAGGTGTGCACGGCAGAGGAGAAATCCCCTCAGGACCATGGGGGACACACCCTTCTCTTCCGCAAACAGTCTGCATTAACCCCACCGAACCCTAGACCCCATTGGTTACTATATAATGGCTGCCTGGTAGTGTCTAGCTTTGGGACTAGCCAATGTGGTGAGAGGAGGCTGAGGTTACCAGGAAGTCTCTGGGGGATATCTACTGACAATTCCTGCTGCCCTATCAACACTGAAGGGTTCCTCAACCCTAGACTCAGAGCTGGAAGAAGTAGGGGGGCCAGGGTCCTCAGGGTAGAAGAGACTCAGGCCAGCTAACCAGCCGGAGTGAACCATACCTAGGAGACACACCCACAGCTGCCAACACACCCCAGAGGAGCTATGCAGGTGCTTACAGACTCCCTGGGGGCGAGAAAGGAATGCATGAATGAACAGAGATGGGGCCCAGATTCCTGCACTGTCCTTCTGGATTATGAGTCCCTCGAACACAGAGCCCCCTCCCAACACTGGGCCAGACACAGAATGACTGGGCTCGGTCCCTCCACATCTCTCACCACCGATCTTACATAGAGTGCTCCACCATCTGAGTCCTTTGCAATCAGTGTGCCCCCCACACACACACAGCTCAGTTGGGAATAGGGGTTCTAGAGTCCTAGCTGGATGACTGAGGCCTGGCTGGAAACTCCCATCTCACCTCACCTCAGGAAAGTTCTCTGCTAGCCAATGAGGCATCGATAAAATCCACCATCTTACTGATAACTAAATCTCCCAGAGAGGGAATCCACTTGCTCAGGCTCACACAGTAGTAGCTGGCAAACGGTGCACAGGCAGCTGAGCGGTCAGGGCTGCAACCCCACCCCAGGAAGAGAACGCACAGGTCTTGGGAGAATCTAATTTTTTTCCCGGATTGAGGGCCAGGGGGAAGCCTAGCGACAAGGGTGAATTGAGGAAGGGGCACGGGAGGAGGTGTCCAGCGGGCTCCAGGCAGCGTACACTCAGCTCTGCAGCTGAAGCCCAGGAGCACGCTGGAGCTCCCATCAGGAACTGGAAATTAAGCTTGGCCACGTTTTCCAACGAAGCCTCCTTGCAGACAGGTCCTGACAAGACTGGGCACTTAAGGAATTTATAATGTTCCCCTCCTGGAAACTCTTGGCCCAGGCACAAGACTGCAGAAGGGCAGGCAGGAGACACTCTACAGAGGAGAAAGAGGGCGGCTTCCACGGGGAGGGCAGGAGGCCAGCGAAGCCTTTGTTCGGTGGAGGAAGGCTAGGTGGCTGTGCCTGTCCCGGAGTAAGTAAGGAGCACTCACAGTTCTAGTGGGGACCTGTCTCCCTCACAGTTACTGCACACCCTCCCATGCTCACCAATACTTCTCTTCCTGCGAATAGGCACAGGCCGCTTCTCGGGCACATGCTTAATGGTGTGGGACCCACGGGCTCTCAGGCTTGTCTCCAAGGCATCCTCAGCCCCTAGAGTTGGAGAGAAGAAGATGGTAACCAGTGCCCACACCTATCTGCCATACCCTTGAGACCCGAACAGTGAGGCTTCTACAGCAGCCCAACAACAGCTCAGTCCCCAACCCCAGACCCTCTGCTCCCAGATGGGGTTTCCAACGCGCACCTCCAACCAACCCCCTATTCTCTTGTCAGCAGGCATGTCCCCAAACTGCAGCTCTTCTGTGAAAACCTGAGGTCCTTTCAAGAAGGCATTCAGGTACTCTCCCTTGCCACGTGACCTCTGAAGGGGACCAGCAGGTCCCAGGGCCACCCAGCTGGGCCCGGTTCTCGAGCAGTTAGTACCACTATCAGCCGAAGCCAAGATGGGAAGGGCGGCGGCCTCTCTCCTGCTGTTGTGTGTACAGGGCCTCCCTCTTGTAAAGCAGGCTTTGATGAAGTGTCCTAACCTCTAAGGGGCATCGGAAGCAAACGCCAGACTGGGCTGCAAGCCAACCTCCACTGTTCCTGAAATAAGCCTTCTCTGAGGGCCAGAGGCCATGAGAAACAGCAAAGGGGTGCAGCTGCTAGGAGAGTAAAAAATGAGGCGCAGAGTCAAGCCTGAGGCTAGAGTCCCGGGGCCCTGGGGTGTAAGGTCCACCTACAGAAGGGGTGGGAGAAAAGCCAGTGGCTTGAAGGAGTGTTCACACATTGAGGGCCACCACGTGTCCAGCAAAGACGGGGCTACCCTTACCCACAGAATGGAGAATACAGTTAAGATCAACCTGGAGAACTTGCCCGTGGGACATAATACCCCCCAAATTCTTCAATTCCTGGGGACAGGAGGACACAGAGCTCCAGTATAGGCTGTGTAGACAGATCAGTCCCTAATGTAACCTATACTTGGCTTTCCCAAACTGTACCATGCAGACTCCAAGCAAAGTTCCCCTTCCCTGCCACTTCTTCCCCAGGGACACTCAACGTCTAGTGACATTCTGCCCAAACGGAGGGACCTCCTAGTATCTGCAAACCAACAGGAGACACGCCAGCCTCCGCTACTCTGAGATGTCTGCTACCCACACGTGTAAGATGAAAGGCAAAGACTCGCCTAAGGTGTGAGTGTCAACGATGAATCTGAGCCCAAAAACTATTCTAAATGACTCAATGTTCCAAAGGCACGGATTTTTTTCTAAAGACCCAAAATAAGATCGGAACTGCTCATGCAGTAAAAATTTCCCGTCGACCAACTGTTACAGAGAAGCATCTCTTCACAAAACAGTGACAATGATGAGTCACGACCTAGTGATGACCATCCTGCCATGGCCAAACCAACAAGAGATGAATGGGCCATCCACTCACAGGACCTGGGAGAGTGGGCAGTGGTACCAGCTGCGGTCCTCTGAGGCCTTGCTTGCCTCAACATGCACAGAGCAAGTGTCACAGACTCTGCCGAAGCCAGGGCACTAGAATCCAGAGATACTGAACAAGAACAAATCAGCCAGGCATGTGGTGAAGCCCCTTCCCCAGGAAGTGGATGCAGGAGGATCAAGAGTGCAAAGCCATCCCCAGACACAAAGTAAATCCAAAGCCAGCCTGGGATAGACAAGATCTAGTCTCGGAAAAATAATGAAGTCTAAACTTAAAACCCCAAACACCAAGACCAAAAGAAAGCTGGGACCCTCCAGGTCCAGTGCCCAGTAGGCTCAATTCCCTGACCCAAGGTTTCCTGACTGATCTTAATGCAGACAGAAACTCAGCCATAGAGACTGGTTACAGCTCCTACTCCCAGAAGCCCAGATCAAGACAGATAAGGAAGGAGCCAGATGTGGCGGCAAAGCAGGAGGGTGTGAAGTTCAAGGCCACTCTTCTCAGAAAACAAAAGCTGAAACAACAACAACAAGCAACTGGGGACGCAGCTCAGCAGGAAGAGGGTCCAGAACACACGAGGCCCTGGGTTCCATCCCCAGCACTACATTAAATAAACGTGGTGATGATGCCTGTAAACCTATCTCCATGGAAGAGGAGACAGGAGAGGATCCTTGACAATGTAAGAGTCCGACGGCAACCTGGGCTATATGAGACCCTATCTTTAAAAACAAACAAACAACTAAACAGGCATCAAAGTGGCCACAAGCTAACGGTGGATCCACTACCATGGCATCTTTGATGTGAGGCAGAGTTCTCTGGGAGCCTGAGGATGTTTCCCTGTGTGACACAGCAGAGCCTATCATGAATTAGTGGCTAAGCCCCTCTCAGGTCAACCAAGTCATCTCCCTTTGTCCTATGCAGATGTCTCACTGACAATCCCTGACCGCTAGAGGAAGGACAGACAGAATCCCATAGCCCTGTCCTGGCTATTATAGTATTATAGGATGGGATGTTTATGTATCAGTTACTCAATGACCCATGGGCACCTGGCCAGAGGCTCTAGAGAACAAAGCTCCCGTTATACACACACACACACACACACACACACACACACACACACACACACACATGTTCGACCTGAACTCCTGAGCTGCAGTTCACAGCAAGGCTGCATGCCAGTTTCTGGACCCAAACACCAACCACACTGAAAGGCCACTAAGAGCTCCTTGACTTCAGCAATGGAATGCTCTGGGCTCAGGGACATTCTTGGCAATGTATTGGAATCCTGCCACCTCTGGAGCTGGGCCACACAGCTAAGGAACTGCAAGGTTGGGAGGAGATGCCTTCAGGGTTTCCCCATCTGGAAAATGGGGATGCCGCCAGCCCACTAGAGGAGCCATGTGCCAATCACAAAGCTCCACCCACTTAGATGAGGTGTTGACTGGGGAGCCTGGGACACCCAAGCCTTTCTCTGCTGCCTGCAACCTAGATAGAGGGACATCAAGAATTCATCTGGAGAGGCCACCCCTGGAAACACCCCAGTGAGGACCCCTTCCAGCTGACTCTAAAACTGACTGATCACCACAAATGTCTGCAGCCTGAGCCACAGAGCGCACTTCCAGAAGGAATCAAATGAGAAGGAGGAGAGCCAACCAGCCACTCCTTTCCCCGGGCCAAAGACTAGACTCTAGTTAGTTTCCACACCAGAGTGGGGGGAAAGACCTGCAGAGAGACCCCATTTGGGGTTGGTGTCACAAAGGGTCCTCTTCCTCCAGTCTTCAAGTCAAAGCCCAAAACCATACTTGGTTCTCAGAAGTTTCCCATGGAGATCCCCAGAGACCCCCCCTAGTGACTGACAGGTGGACTGAAGAGGGTAGATGTCCTAAATCCCCTGGGACAGGGACACACACACACACACACACACACACACACACACACACACACACACCATTCTTACAGAAGCAATTTGAAACATCCAGGGGCAGGACTGCTTTTTCTCTTTGGACCCTCCTGAGGAGGCCCCAACCCAGAAGCCTCCAGCCCCCCATTGGGTACACTGGCTTAACCTAACAGAACCGAGAAGCTAAAAGCATTCATGGTGGGGGGTTGGGGAGGCGTGGCTGTAAAGAACAGCATAAGAATGGTCTCAGCAGAAAAGTGAATGGCCCATTTCTCCCTGCAACCCGCCAGCAGGAGGCCCAGCCCTGGTTTAAGCAGGGCAGGAAGGCAGTGCACCCCGTCTCCAAAGCCTTTGGGGACCAGCAACAACTACGGGTGTATTTCCCCAGTGACCCAAGCCAAGTCCTCCACCCAGACCTGCACACCAAGGGATCAGATCAAAACCCCCTGTCCCACCCTTGATCTCCAAGGGAAACCCTAGGCCTGCCACTCCTGATAAGGATCAGGCCAAGGATTTCCTGGGTCAAGAAACTACAGAAACGGGGCCACCTTGTTAAAAAAATGATTCTGGCATGCAACAAAAACAGTTTAGGCCTCTCCACCACCATAATTAGGTACAAATTTCCAAATGGTTAGGCCATGTGATTTTACTTAATTCTCTCGCCACTCCCCCTTTTCTGAAAAGTTTGCAGGGGTGGGGGCGGGAGAGATCGTCACTCAGAATTCTTCACTTTAGTACCCTTTAGTCCTGACAAACTCATCGGGTCATTTTTTTTAAGCTGGTATAGTTTATACCAGCGTGTCAAAAAGAATACCCAGGCCAAGGGTTCTTTTTGAAAAGGTTGTCACAAAAGGCAGAGGAGACCTTGTTCTCCAGCACAGTGTGCCTCTCCCACCCCCACTCATGACCCTCTATTTTAGCACTTGTCGACCCGAGTCTAATCCAATCTTACATTTACAAATTGTTTTCTACAGGGACTTGGCTCTAGCCCGAGGCGGGGATCCCCCAAAATAGCCCCAAGCGCGCCTTTTTAACAGGATAATGTTGAGAAAAACATTGGCCTCCCGTGGCTACCACAGAGACCCAGCCCCGGACAATCAAGACACCAGGGAGAGTAGTTTACAAAAGGCCCGGACCGACTAGCTGCTCAACGCTCCGGGGGCCCTTGCCTGGCGGAAGACCTGCTAGAGCCGCGCGCCCTCCGGGCGGGCTCTCGCACTCCAGGGCCAGAGGCGGCCGTTGACCCGCACACCTGGCAGGGTCTTTCGGCACACTCTAAAGCTGAACTTTCAGTGACACACCCGCTGCGTTTCCCTTAAATGCAAAAACAACCCCCGGACAAGCGAAGCAACCCTCGGCTGCCGCTGGGAGAGAAAGTGGCGGCTGCAGGAGAAACGCCTGACTCATACGCCTGGGCGTTTATGGCCGGCGAGTGGAGTCTGACCTTTCGGTGCGCTCCTGCGCAGCACCCGGCCCGGCCGAGCGCTGGGTACGGTTCCTCTCGCAGACTGCCCGCCCCGCCGCCCGCGCCCTTCCCGCAACCAGGGGCAGGGGCGCGATTTACCTACGGAGTCTATCTCCAAGAGTCGCTGGAGGTCCCGGATGCTGTGGATCTGACTTCGAGCCAGTCGCTCGATCAGCTCTCGGGGTATCTCGGCTTCCTGCAAGCAGACCACACCGTCAGGACGGCGCCCAGGGGTTCCAGCCAGGCCTCAGGGGCCACGCAGCCCCGCCCGAACCCCGCCAAGCTCTAGAACCAGAGACTCGGGTGGGGCTAGATGGGACCCCCCCAAGTCCTCCACCCCATTCCTGTCTGTCTGACCTTGGTAAGAAAAAAAAAACCACCCCAACACCGCCTTGACATGTTCAGACAAAAAGCACCCGCGATCTGGCCCTCCCCAGGGTGTTCGGGGGCAGCTAGGGGCCCGAAGAGTTTCTGGTTTAATCGCTAAATCCACATGTAGAAAGAGAGCGTCGAAATGCGTCACGGATCCATGCCTGGAGTCACAGCAGCCCCAACACTTTAATCTAGCCTGAGGGTTCAATTTCACTCCCGGGAATCCTGGGCCGAGCCCGTAGGGGAGAGGGTCTTCGCGCACCCCCACACGCACGCGCGCGCTGTTGCCCCACCCGGTTCCGGCCCAGTCACGGCCCTAGCGCTGACTAGGACGCCCAAATCCAGTGGGGCTTAAAGAGGCTGCAGGGAACGCAAGGGGTTAAATATCCACCTCGCGCCTCTCCGGTCCCTGCCCAGACCACCCCCACCGCTCAGCCTCCCCCACTCTCCCTCCCAGTTTTTTAAAGGGAGTCAGGGTCGCTGGGGGACTCAACCACGAAGTTCCCACGACAGGGGCTGTGGAAAGTCATTCATCACGGCAAAGCTCCCGGGGACTGGGGGTGGTGGTAGCGGTGGGAGGGCGCGGGCGCCTGGCCCGGCCCCATCTGCCTCGTTCAGCCACCTGTAAGCAGGCCCTGGGCGGGCGGAGACTGCTCCAGCCCCGCGCCCGACTGGGCTTGAGGACCGGGAACCGGGGACTGCAGCTGGGCGCTGCCCACCCTGCCCAGTCCCAGGCTTCAGCCGCACCCTCCTTTACCTGCTTACTGCCCGCCCTAGTCCCCTCCCAGGGCATGGTCAGTTCACACACACCCCCTTTCCCGCTGCCCGCACCCCGTTACTGCATTGTCCGCTGCGTTCAGGCTGCCCCTTCAGGAAAGGCACCCACAGACCCCCGAAGTTTCTGCCCACTGGTTCACCTCGCGGCTCCCCCCGTCCCTCCCCAAGGCGGAGCGACGCAACGCGCTGGAAACTCACCAGACACACTTGGGCATGGCAGAAAATAGAACCCAGTTGGGAATTTTTTTTAAATTACACCACCCTGGCAAAAATCGAAATGCTCTTCGCAGAGCTTGAAACAGGTAGCCGAGGGGGGCGTGCGCGGAGGGAGCCAAGAAGGGACGGAGGCGCGGGGGTGGCACCCACCTCGGCCAGGGCATGGGCGAGGTATCCGCAGCCGAGGAGCAGCAGGCAAGCCCAGGTCCTCATCGCGTCCCGAGGCGCTGGAAGCTCGGCAGGGAGGCGAGGCCGCGGGGCGGGCTCTCCAGCCGGGCTCCTGTGGCGGCGAAATTCAGTACCATCCCTCAGGGAGCGCGGCCCGGAGGAGGGTGGCGCGGAGAGCAGGGAGCCTGCGGAGCGCGCCCGGCGCGAGCAGCGAGTGCAGAGCCAGCGAGGAGGAGGAGGAACAGAGTCGCGCCGGGAGCCTCCTGGGCCGCCGGGTAGGGGGTGGGGGCGGAGGGGGCGGGGGGCGGGGGCTGGGCTTCTTCCTTGGTGCGTTCCCCGTGCTGGCCGCCGCCGCGCTCGCTCCCCGTCGCTGGCTTTAGGAGCGACCCGGCCGGTAAATCCGCATATTTCCTGCCATCAGCCCCGGGAGGGGACCACGGAGCGTGATTGCAGCTCCCGCCGCACCACCGATCACCTGTCTGGACTCTCGGTCCGGTACCGGCGGCTGCCTCGCTTCTCCCTGA